GTAAATTAAAAATAATAATGAAATGTAATTTATTTTTGTTTGTTGTCTAAGAAACCAATCTTCTGTTAGAAATTATTATTATTATTAATTCTTTATTTAAGTTTAAAAACTAAATATTTTAACAATTAATTTACTTTGTTCTCGACTGTCTCGAGATATAAAGTAAAGACTACAAGAAGTACTGCTCTTTACACGAGAAATAATGTAACGGTCCCACAAATGCTCCCATTGTTCACCTTAACTAAATAATTAAAGTATGCCATTCATTAGTAACAATCACCTGTAAACCATAAAAATTATGCAACGTTTTTTGACCCATAAACAGTCGTGACAATCCGCCTACGTACAATAGATCTATACCTGATGAACCGTTCTTTTTAAAAGATAAAGGCTTTTTATGGTTTTAGGATGACGTAAAAAAACGGCGTGATTTTTATCTTAAAGAAGTTTAGTCACAGATGTTTCTAAGAAATAATTACTTTATTCTAATAGTGTCTTATGACTTAATTTTCCTCTGTACCTAATTAATTACTTGACATTATGCCATTGTTTACGGAACTATAAATTTTCCCACCCCAAATGTTCTCTCACCTAGAGAATTTATAAAGAAAATTGCCTAAACCCTATTCCTAACAGCTGTAGTGACGTAATCAAACAGCTGATGCTATAAAGTACGTTGTAAACAGAACCGCAATAAAAAGGGATCGAGTCTCGGCGACACACAAACAAGTATACTATGGGCATAACGTACACTGGATTATTAAACCGTTCTCTTATTATTTACTTGTTTCTTTTAACAATTGAGTAAAATATAATAGAAATTAATTTTTAAATTTAAACTTCATTTTAAATTTAAACACATTTTAGTCAGCTAACTAGTCAAAATTTTAACTTTTTTAATTTCGGTTAATTAGTATTGATCAATGAATATTGATATTCTAATTAAAACGTAAGAAGACGTGTTAACGATGTAAAATATGAAAGAAAGAACGTGTGCGTGTATGAGTTTCTAGTATTACTTACAAGCGTTTTGCCGTATCGTAGCCGTTGAAGTTAACCCATAAAACTCTGTTGGTTAGTGCGTGCGGCTCACAATGTGACGTTTTATAAAGCGTCGGGCAGGTGTGAACATTATCTTAATTCAAGTGCTACTGAACCGATCGAAGCTTCGAACTTAAAGCGCTAAATTGAAAGGAAGATTTGTAAAATTATCGTCACACTGCATTTGCATTTTTATGGTTATTTGATTTTTAACGCGCCTTTAAACTCTGCTTATTAATGTATTGGGCAATCTTGGAAGTCAATTTAATCTACTTATAGGTACTTGTTGTATCGAAATAAAACTTTGTATAAATGTAGGTATATCTAGTTCGGATTTCAGGTGGAAGGTACTTGGTTTGCCTAGTCCCACAGAGACTGCTGGCTTATTGACGTTGGCCGTACTTTTTTAAATTTATTGTTTAATCGTTTTTATCGCCTTTCGATTATTATTTTATATAACGTAAATAAATGTAGTTTTTTTTATAAACTGGTAAATATTATATCATGAAAGTTATTTATTCATTAGGTATTATGGATATATCAATCAGATTTAGATATTTATCAGTACTATCTATTTTTAAGCAGATGTAAATAAATTATGTACTATCAATAAGATCAATTCATTATATAATTAAATAATTTTAACAAAATCTCTATAAATTTAAAGAATATCTTCAAACTGTGAAATAGATAGGTACGAGTCCCCTTAGTGGATTGAGTATTTTATGCTAGAATGTATTGTTAATTTATTTAAATGAGTGCAATCAATTCTTCTTCGTTTAAATTGTAATGTTTGCTTTGTTCAAATCTGAAATCTGGTTTGGTTTTCAAAGTATCGACACTTTAAGACAATTGTTTAGAAATAAAATCAGGTATAGCCTTCATACAGTTTTTGAACCCCACAAATAAATATACATTTAGTACCTATATTATACTTATGATATAGGACTATAAGCCGCGATAAGACCATTTATTGTAATACCAAAATGTATATGTATAGAAATAAATAAAATAAATAAACAAAGCTTTTTTTTAAAGAATCTTCAATCTTGATAAAATTTCGATTATAAAAAGTTGTCATACCAGTTCTATTAGAAATTACTTTTTAAATATGTTTCTTGATATGCTGAATAAATTTAAATCTACATATTATGTTAATACGACATAGGTATATTAAATAATTCACAGTACGAATAGGCTTTTCCTCTTTCTAATAAAATTCACATGAAAGTTTATTTAAAATTTATGAAAAATCTAACTTTATCAATATTTTCTACTACACTATAAACATTTATAACACCTGTGTTATAAATAATAAAGATTCATTTATAATTACATTAAAATATGGTAATAGTTTATTCCAAATGTAGTAGTCGCGAGACTTTTTTATCGGTAGAAAAACCTAGAGCTGAACAGGAAATCGACAGTCTCTTGACCATGAAAGATCTTTTTATGATACAGAACACCTAACCAGTAATGCTGTTTAGTTAAATTACACAGAAGGTACAACTGGCGTTATGAGCAAAAAATCTTATCACAATATCTTTAAATTAATGCGAGGATATAACCTATTAGTCAACTAATTATTAACCGATTAACTATATAACTTAACATATTTTATGATATAGCAAAGAAAACGAACATGAAAATATGTATGTAGATACATGATTACACTGATTTTTAAAATGAATACACTATAGGTACATACATATATTTCATACCAAACTAAGGTACACCAATTCGTTAAGAATGATGTGGAAAAAAATTGAGATAAATCTAAATGTTTAATTTAAGCACTCTGTTACTCTCCAATTAACTGGATGATGGTTTATTGATCATCATCGAACCTCATCTAAATAATGATTTGAGAAAAGTTTGGATAAGACCTTCATTGGCTACCTATTGCCATAACATACTAACTTTTAAAGTTTCGTGTTTTACGATATATTATTATGGTACGGAAACTTACGCGATCATGTAAAGGTAAAAAAAGGTATTAGATACTTTTGAAGTGTCCGACAATATTTTTTTTGGCACTGGCCGTGATCTGATGTGATCTCGGTAATTTTCGTAAGTATCTATAATTGTGAAGTCATTCAGATCCTAGTCTTAAAGAGTGCGGATTACCTCTGGATAAGCTGTATTTATTAGAAACACCTTCCCTACTTCTCTGTCACAAAGATATGCGAACAATAACTTTTGAAAGATTTTTATTCAAATAGAAGACCAAATATCACATTATTATTATATACATAACTTCTGCTACGTGTATGCACTTTCTAAAGTTAAAGGCCACCAACTAACCCTCCAACGGCTAATAGTACTAGCCAAATTACTTAACGTTTGAATGTTGAGAGTTAGTTTCAGGGGTCACGAGGCCACCGGAAGGGCGGCGGTCTGCGCCCCTACTGCCCTGGATACTCTGTAAAAGATGCTAAAATTGTGGATGTGCTGACAAAGTTTATTTTTTTATTAAGAGGCGATGGTGAGAAATAGTTTAGAAAAACAAACCTATCTACGATTTTAATTTCTTTGTAGTTTAGTAATCTTAGAAATATTTACATTATTGAGACGGAATATCATAAAAACAAATACAAAAGGTAAAGGAATTATTTGACACATTTATTTGGTTTATTGGTTTGATGAACTCATTTTATAGTAAAATAATAAAACAAGATACCTACTATTTATTTTATCTACAATTAATAAAACATTTAGGTATAGCTACTTTTTTTAAAGTAAGTAAAAATGCTTTACAATATTCAAATTTTGAATGATTTAGTAATAGTAAATATTTAAATTATACTTCATGTTACCGTCACATTTATTAGCAAGCCTCTAGTGTTGTAACAATAAACATTGAATTTTGTTTTTAAAATCGCATAGACCAGGGCCATTTCGATCGTTTGCTATCTCAGTGCTGTGAACTGGTTGTTGTTAATATTTATTTAATTAATATGGTATTTAGGTTTAGTGTGTAATATTACTTCTGACAAGAATGTTATCCTGTTATGGCGTTCGGTCGCACAAGTTATGTGGGTACTTCATTCACGCCTTATGATGTTAACTATTTTCTTATCAGTTTAGCGAAAAATGTATATGAACAAAACATTTTTGACATGTAACTTATATTAAATCTACTCATAAAACTGTAACTTACATTTATAAGTATAAGGTTGAAGATGTGTAATTTATTTTTTAAGTTTCCCTAACTCACATTGTCAAATGTAAATTAATGAATAGGTTTGTTTAGGTTGTAGCATTGATCAAAACTTAGAGGCAAGATAATAAATATAGTATATCTTATCGATAATCATGATTATGAAACAACACGCCAGCGGCACAGGAAACAGAATTGCCTCTATCAAACTTTAAATTATTCATAGAACAATTACCATTGACTTAATTGAAAATTAATTTGTACTGTTATTATAACCACCACCGCAGATGTTTGCATTTATGCAAGTGCAGGTTTTTGTTTTAGCCACTTAGTCAAAACGCTAATACCGTTGTTTGTCTTTAGTTGTTTGTGACTACATATATTCGCGGCGGCTCCGTGCGCTCGCATTCATAACAGCGGTGTTTGACCTCTTAAAATTACTTACTGACACATTTTAGGTACCAAATATATAAAAAGATTCACACAATAAATTATGCCACACATCACCTTTTCTTGTAAACTGAACAATAAAATTATTGTCGTCATTTAAAACGCATTAAATACCGCTCGTTTAGCAAACAGTCCTCGATTTCATTTTCCGTTGTAAACATGATGGTGAACCGTAAAATGTTTATGTATCTCGAGTGCAGAAGGAAATTCTCATCTAAATTCTGCGCGAGCGCCGTTGATTCCAACATTCGTGCGTTGACAGCGAAATACATCGGGCGTCTGATGCGTGTGAAAAAGTAAAAGCAAATTGTTAGACAGTAAAAAACAAATACTAGGCTTTTATTTCTCACTAGGCGGGATTGACTACAGGCTTCATTTCCGTAGTTGTACACGTAGAGCCGGGCACCGGTGTGAGGTTGTTACACGGAGCTCCGTTCCATGCTGGTTGTACGATGACAGCTGCCAATTGCCTGTGCGTAAATTGACGATACGTGTGTCGCATCGGATCGTAAAGCCGATACACTCGATGTAACTTCACCGACAAATTGAGCTGTGGTAGGTCACGGCGCTTTAACAATTCAGATTGCATTTCGGTCACTTTAAATCTACTCACAATCACTAAAACATAACCAACTATTCTCGAACGTCTGTCGCACTCGAAAAACTGAGTTGCACTAAAACTATAATCAAAGGAATACCGCCGTAGATACGAAAGGTGGATATCTTAATTTCCTAGTCCTTCGCGTTAATAAATTATAATTTACGATTGTGTTTCTGGACGGTGACCATGGTAAAAAAGCGGGCTATAATAGAAACATCGTTTTTTTTCTACCCGCATGTAACGTTTACCCAAAGTTGAGCTTTCGGTCGTTTATCGGACCTAGCCATTTTGTTTGAGGAGGAACTGTGATACACATTGGTATCTCTTTCTTTAATTTATATTTTATTTGAAATAATTATTTTATTAAAATATTACAGATAACAGTACTTATTTATTTTGAACAATGCTATTTGAAAGTGTGTGAATACAAGTTTCTGCTATTTAATGATGGAGAGAAATAATATGTTTTTTAACTATGAATATTTAATCATGTGCGTTTTTATTAAATTTTACAGCTACATTGCCTAGTTGCATATTTAACTAATTTATGTTTTCATCTTGGTAACAATGACATCTCACCTAATGAAGAAATTGTTCCCAATACTTAGGAGAGAATAAAAAAAAATGAATTTAACAGACCGAGACGGATATATTTCACCGCGAGTTCTTAAATAGGAAGGGTTTATTAGTTAACTATGTAGTGGGGCCCATAGATCATGGACAACGGCGCCGGCGTAAGCTAACCGTTCGGTTCTCAAAGAGAATACTTTAATTGTATAACTGTGTTCATTTTTGTTAAATCTTGTTATATTAAAATATCGTAAACATTTGTTAGATTGTTAAAATGTTGAAAAATCTAAAGGTTACTAACTTTCACCGATGTTAGGTGATAAAACAGCAACCGCAGTTACTTCCATAAAAATTTATAGTTGGATAATTATTGTGATTCCTACTGAAATGGTGTGATAAAGTTTATTGGTCGTTAGAATGAGAGCCGAAACAAATCCGTGAGTGGCGGGACGAATCGCCTAGATTTGTTACGGACAGTAATACAACTTGTGATTGACCAACTAAAATTAAAAAGAAGCGAGAGTGCAGTTTATGTGAGGTGAGTGCAAGTATTCGTCTCCTCTTTAAGGTAATATACATACACGCCGATTTGATTATGTATTTAGAGCAATTAAATACATAACTCTAGTCATATTATGTAGGTACCTACAACTTCTATGTTCGTTCATTTGTATGTCCGTTATTATTCTTTTAAAATTATATTCAAACATATTTTTTAAACATTATCTTACTATTAACTAGGCTTTTATGTTTCATGACATATAAATATGTGGAGAGGCGTATTGAAATTAACGCAATCACTTTATTAGGTTTCAGAAATTACTGTGTGTATCGGTGACCACAGCCAGTACAACCTGATTGAAATGTTAGACACTCTGAAGTGCCTAATATCTGGATCACATTAAAAGTAAGAATTTCTGTATTAAAGATATTGTATGAAAATGGTGTGTTTTGATTTGTTGCGTAAAACTATGAGTTCTCAAAACACTGTAACTTAATAGAGTCGTTACACTTGTAACATGTGTGTATGTAGGTATGTTCCACGTTTCATGACCCGTGAGTCAGTATAAGAGTGTTGTTGACTTTGATATTTTGCCGTCAACTGATAATTGATACCATTACTGAATAACTCCTCTAGTTTATTAATCACCATTAATGTCGTTTAGCCTCTTGATACGCGCACATAATTATTCCTTATTCTTATAAATCTTTGTTATAGACGATTAATGTCAATTTAATATATTTAATGTAAACAATAGGAAGATAACACTTTATGTAAGACTATAATGGAAGCAACACGATGAACCGACTTAGTTTAAAAAGAAGACACATTGCTCAGCACAATGTTAGTTTCGGCACGAAGCCCTCTATGTCAGAGAAATAAGTTCAAAATATCTCACACACTCGTTGCCATTCAATAATAAACTTAAAGCACAATTTTTAAGGTTCATCTGTATTGAAAATCTAGAGGCAAAAGGTAATTGTCTGCTTATGAAAAATGTACTTTTAGATCAGAGCAATAAAAATTAAAATCGTTTGTGCAGTGGTTTTAGTATCAAAAGAAAGGCCAGTGCAGTTATTTATGCCGGGTATATGTTACGGTGCACTGTTTATGTGAAATTAAATATGGTTTAATAGTTTACTAAGAACGGATTGGGGTTGCAAAAATTGAACATTGCAGTTTCATTGCACAGCTTGCAGGAAAGACCTATGGGTTAGTATCCGAACTACATTTTTACGGCTAATATTTAGTATAGGCACTGTGACATGTTTTTCGTGTTAATTTCGTTATTGAAACATTCGGAAAGCAGTGGGAAAATAACAAATTTCAGAATACATTGATGACACGTAACCTACTAACAATGAATAGGTAGCCTATATTTCTGTATAAGTCTTAGTATTCAAATACGGCATGGTAGGGCACCTCCAGTGTTGTATATCGTGCAACGATTAATTGCCCGCCAGACATCAACTCTATTAGTCCCGGATTCCATTGGTAGCGAAGCGATAATATCTACTGTTGAACATCATACGGCTGCTTTAAACTAGTTTAAACGTAATAGATATTAGATAATATAGCAAATTGAATATTTAATGATAACTAAATGACACAGTTTGTTCATTGAAATAGAAATACATGTAGATTATAAAATTTTTACTTAATCGTGCTGTATTGTTTTCAAAATGGCTAGACAGCTGTTCCTATATGAAGTTAATAATTGTTTGGCCAAATTTTATGGCAACGGATTCTATATAATCATTGAAATTAATAATAATAATCATATAGGTTCAATTATTTAATACAATGAATTTAAAACCTACATATTGGGTTAATTTAATTTCCTTATTTGTCAATTTAAAAGAAAATAGGTAGTAATAAAATAATGTTTATTACTACTGGCTGTGTCTGTGTATATCAAATAATAAGTATAATTTCAATTAAGTAATCATTTTTATTATGTTTTATGTAGGTATGTGGTTCTATGCATTCAAATAAACAAAGAAAAACTTGTACCTATCAGATATTCTTGTAAAAGCCTATTTTTTTTTGAGCTAACTAATACTCGCGCCTCTAGTCCCCTATAGGTATTAATTAATTATATATTACATTATACGTAATCTACAATTAATTCATACACCCATTTTTTTTTGTTTTTTTTGTTAGCTATTTTGTTGGTTCTACGGCATTTACGGGCCGAAACCAGGTAAATACAGGATGTGGTGTGTACATTATGTTGGTGTTTTGTCATCTAACTTCATGAATTTTCTAACGATTTCACATGTGTTTAATATTATAATAACTTTCTGTAAACTTATATAAACGAATTCTGATAAACCTGATTGTTTTAAGCTATGGAGAAGATGGTTTAGAATGATACCAGTCGTGGAGAGAGGACTACAAAAACTATGCAGACGTTATTTTGTTCCCGTATTCTGAGCACTTCTTTCAGGTCAGCATACTTGCTTATTTATTCGGAGATGGTTTTTTGGAATATACACATATATGAAAAAAGAAATATTCAATATAATACATTGCATTCTTATACTTTTTATATAAATTATATATTATATACCTACATCACGCACATATTCGTTTTAAAACTATTTACATACATTTAGTAGTACAACGTAGGTAGGTAATGTATACTATACGTATGTATACCTATAAAGGTATTAGTTGTGTCATTTTAATGTTAGAATACCATTAATATTCAAGTTATGTTGATATTGTTGGGTAGATTTTTCTTATTATAGCTGTTACACATATACATATAAGTGCGGTACATATGCCAGTCACATTTGTCATGTTTCATTTTCTTATCTGTATATTTATTACTAATTAAGTATGTACCGCTGTGTATTTTATATTCCTTTTAATTCTAAATTATTCCAGCTATCTTAATTTCTCTTTAAACTGTCAAGTTTATGTAAATAAGTTTTTAAACTTGTGTTTAGCCGGGCCTACTTCATAATTACGACTGACTAGAACGTATCTTCATATTTTTGTTAACTTCAAGTTCACAAACTAAACGTGGTTAATTTTAACAATTAATCGAAATATAGATACATACTAAATTGAAACTGTTTCGCAGTGAAAACTTACTTGATTATATAATTGTACATCAATTCTAAAACGGAAATGGCCATTTTACACATCGTTTTACACTTCCTTCACTTACTTAATATATCAAATATTTCTTTTATTTACTACTTTTACATTTAAAGCTTAGCTTAGTAACTGTATAGTTTTACATTTAAGGCTTAGCATAGTATCTGTGTTGATGGACGACTGGTATTATGTAACGTTCCCAGCGAGCGATCGACCGCCCGATCAACATGTAATAATACATTTTTTCATACTACGAGCAAAGAAAATAAATTATACACGTGCGTACAAAATTCATGTTGGCATATTTGACAATTTGAGTGGAAAAAAAATCTTAAAACAAGGTGGTTTAAAACTATAGAGCCACACACTTGTAACAAACATTAAAATCTTTATCTTCATTTCAAAAAAAATACCGCGTTAAAGAATAAATTAAAACTAAAGTAGCATTATATTTTAATAATGATGAATTAATTATGAACGGAGTACTTATAATTTAGACACATTGTTCTCACACTGTAAAATTATACAAGAGCTAGATTTTATACATCTTAGTTATCATTAAATTGTTAAATATAAACACTAACGGATCACTATCGTGAAGGTTTGCTTCGAAAAAGTATTTTTAGTATAGTGGTATAGGGTTATCCAGTGATTTTCGATGTAATGCATAATAACTAGTACCTTATTTCAGGTCACGGAGTTCATATACCGGAAGAACTGAGAATATTTTGTACCTACACCTACACGCTCTACGGTACCTAAATTGTGCTATGAACATTATCGCCGCCGCCGTTATCTTACACCACCT